ACGACTTCCCTCAATCTACCCCATGCACAAGTCAGAGTCAGATTAAACATGGTGAGCTTTTGTAATGTATGAGAAATGTGAGGGCTTGGAAACCTAGTATCCTTTTATAGGGGTCTCTCTCACATGTTTTCAGAAGGGAAGTTCATCACCCAAGGATGCAGGATCTTCCTGGGTCACAGCCAGGGTTAGCAATTGCCACTAATAAACACAGCCAGAAGCTAGATAAGATGCGATAGAATCTTAGTAGGCAATCTGCCCTTGCAACAGAGAAAACAGCCTAGCAAGAATTAAACCCAACTTCCCTTTGTACCAGGGTGACTGCAGGATGGTGTTAAGGGGAGACTGTGGAGATGGAGAGGGGTGAGCAGGAGATTAATATAGTCAAGGAAGCAAAAAACTGTAAAACGGAGTTAGGAGACACTTTGTCTACGTGAAACCCATCTAAGTTTGCTTACTGACTCTTATGAAAGTCAGCCTCTCTCTTGTCACAAACTGGGGAACAGGGCTCTATGTTCAGGTGTTGGATAATAATAAACTTTTCTGTGACCTTGGGTTTCCTCAAGCAAGTGCTTTAAGTGGGTGGAGGGGTTCATCATCGGGATATGACGCAACTGCTTTAGTCCGAGTCCTCCAGACCAAGGCTGAGGCCTAATGGAAAAGGGGTTCCAGAGAGTCCCAGTAGAGCTGGGGCAATAAAAAAAATCTTTGCAATGAAGATGGGTATGATTCAGTGCTGATTGTGAACTGGGTGGAATCTGCTATTACCTAGTAGGCCAGCCTCGGGACCATCCTAGAGGAATCTTAATCAGGTTAATCATAGTGAGAAGAACCAACCTAAGAGTGACCTGCACAGTGTCCCTGAGTTGGGTCCTAGACTGTATAAAAAGGAGAAGATGGGTGAGAAAGAAGGGTTGGTGGGTAAAGGTGCTCACTTTGCAAGCCTGGCAACCCGAGTTCAAACCCCAGAGCCCACAGAAAGAAGGAAACTGAGAAAAGACTCCACAAAGTTGTCCTGTCACCTCCATATGTGCCACTGTGGCACGTGTGCCTATGTGTGCAAGTGTACATGTACACACACACACACACACACACACACACACTTGAATGCACTCACAACAATAAATAAGTATGTTATATATGTATTAATTTAAAGAGAAAGCTAGCTGGGTAGAGGTAGTTATTGCTCTCTACGTCCCTATTTTGGATGCAGTGTGACCAGCTGCTTTAAACTCTTGCCATCTTGACCTCCCCACCATGATGGACTGTACCTTCAAACTGAGAGTCAAAATAAACTGTTTCTCCTTTAAGAGGTCACTTGTGTTAGGGGGTTTTGTTTGTTTGTTTGTCTTTTAATCACAGAAACAAGAAAAGTAGCTAAGACAATGGGAGAAGTTTGTATATGACTGTGTCAGATTAAACGTCCTTCCTGGATCTGCACACAGCTCAGAATCAGATTACCAATAAACATGGTAAGATTTGTTGACTTTGTGTTCCTAGCCCCATGACCTCCGTGAAAGCAGCTTCACCCAAAGCCCGGAGCCTCCCAGCCTCTCTGATGGGCTATCACACTTATGCAAACATTAAACACTCGCACAAGAACATCCCATATAGGCAAGCAACGAAGGAAGGAGGAGGAAGGGCTCTTTTTCTCTATTTCAGACTCAAACAATGTTTCTCCTTCCAGGGAGAGCTTGTTTATTCCAAGCATGCCCTGAGCCAAGAAATCCATCAGATGCCTGTAGTTGCCTCTTTGTAACACTCCCCTCCTCTTTCAGAAACCGTCTAGAATGAGAAAACAAATAGCCAAGGAAATCAAAGCATTTCCACTTAGACATTCTAAACAGCCCTTAGAAACTGTATCTTTCTCCCTCCAAGGATGCCCAGAGGAGAACGCACACCCATGGATTTGCACCCTCAGTGCACAAGCAGAAAATTCTCAGCCCTGCTCTGTGGTCCTGAATACAGAACACCTATGCCAGCAGAGGCTAGAATTCAAATGTTTTAAGCAAACCAGATCAATAAGTAATAATGTTTAATCAGGCATGGCTAATAAACATGCTCAGGAAGTTATCCTACAAAAGCAACAAATACAAATCCTTACAATAAGGAATTTGCTACTGAAAAATAGCTACCTGACGTTTTTCTCTGTCTGAGGCCGAATTCTGCAAGTGGACAAAGCTTAGGGGAAAGGCTTATAGATCTCTATCCTACAAAATAACTGTTTATCAAATACCAAACAATTGTCAGCCAGTTGGCGGGCACCAGCCTCCAACACAGACACAAAGAGACTGAGTCTAGAGAAGAATTGATTTTGCTCTGACATATAAAATCCTGAATGAAGACAGAACTCTTTGTCTACGACTCAATAACATTTTAAAAATTTGTGTGTGTGTGTGTGTGTGTGTGTAGGGGTATTTTGTGCATGTGTGTGCTCTGTGGGTGCACTTGCGCAGGTGGATATGCACACATAAAAGCATACAGAAGCCAGACACTGATGCTGACTGACTTACTCAATCACTTCCCATCTTATTTTTTGAGACAGGGTCTCTTACTGAACCTAGAGCTCATCAATTAAATGAGGCTAGCTGGCCAGCAAGCCCCAGGAATCCACTTATCTCTGGTTCCTTGTACTGGGATTGTAGGCACATGCCACTGATTCTGGCTTTTTCTGTAGGTGTTGAGTGCATGCGTGTGCAGCAAGGACCTTTGCCCACAGAGTTGTTGCCAGAATTCAGCGTAGCTTTTTCTAAGCATACATTACACAGACACGATCAATTTTGAGGGTGGAATGTGAGAAATCAGGTAGTTTCATGTGTGTGTAGCCAAGTGAAGCTGGCTCCTGCTCCCAAATCTCCAAGACCATTTACTACAGAGAGGAAAATCTTTGTAATCCAGTAGACTTTCATTCATTTGGGAAAAATGGGGAAGCACGAGTTCTAAGGATAACTGTGAAAACCAGACTCCCCCTTTAGAACTGTCTCTCATTTTACTGCTGTGGTCTCCAGGGAGTGCCCTTTCTTCTTTCATTTCCTGAGATCCTGGAAACAGTTCTTATATTTTTGTTTGTGAGCCTAGTCTTTAATGGTTGGGCCATCTCTCTAGCCCCTGAGAACAGTTCTTAAAGATATAATTTACCTCCAAATGATGGTATCACTAAGACACAGTAATAAAGAGATGAATGGTCCCTTCGCAACACAGGGTCACTATGCACTATCTCTCGGTTGTGCTGGCACACTTTCTGGGGCTGGAATACACAGCAAACTACAAGTTAACAGAAATGTTTTCCAGCAGATATTATGGAGGAATCCACTCATTAAATCCCTCATCACTGGGTGTTTAGGTGCCTAGAAATGAAGAAAGCAAACATGAATTAAAACCATTCAACATTTATTAAGGAAACACCGCATTAAAGGGTCCTGGCCTTCAAATACAGTATCTCATGCAATGCCCACACCATCCAAGAGAAAGTAAAATTCTCATTTTATGCAAGAGGCCAAACTATGTATAAACGTGTAAACAGTCATGGCTGGCAACATCTATGAAATGGGATAGTCGGTAGTTGGCAGCATCGATAAGATGGGATAGTTCCCTTAAGCACTGCCCTGCATTTATTCAGAGCCCGATGACAAAATATTGAAATAATACTTGTTTTTCCTGTTGGCGTAATTCAGACACAGATAACTTTCTCAGGGTCACACAGTAAAGAGCAGGGCCAGAATTTAACCCCTCAATTCTGCTTTCTTTTTATCCTCCTATGTTGTTCCCACCCACTGCATATTTAAACAAAATGCAGTGCCCCCTACAAATTTATTAAGACAAATATAAGAGAAAAAAAATCACAGGACCGAGAAATTTTTTGAGGTTTTTCCCTTTTTATTGAAAGGATAAGAAAGGCATTGTGCTGATTGAGGAGAAGAATGGGTTTTGGACTCTCAAGAAAGCACAGGAAACAGGAGCAAAGAGGAAGGTCTGCCATTGCCTGAGGGACAGTAGGTTTTCTCAGCCTGCTAGAAGGAATCTTGTATTCCATTTGTTGCTAAGGGCTTCAAGGGATGGAAAACCTAGCAGAGGGCTTAAGTAGCAGTTCGTTCTTCCCAACAGAAAGACTGACTCTAAACCCCATGTCCTTACCCCTCCACTCTTACTGTAGTGACCTCCTCCCTGGAAAATACTGATCTGCTTCAAAGGCAGAAACCAAAGAGGAGAAACTACCCCAGCCACACTGGTCCCATATCAGCTTTCTTAGACCTTTTGTTCCCTGGTAGACCCTCACCTAGGTCCCACTGATGAGCAGTTTGGGCAGTGGCCACCTCAGCAGTCGCCAAGACTGGAAAGCACTGCTTGCCTGGACTCAACTTTGCCCCTGTAGAATTACAGGAGGTTTGGTGGTGTAGGAGGTTAGGAGGAGAGGAGGCTTTGACCTTGGTCAGGATGTGGGTGGGGACCGGGAACCTAGAGTCAGTGCACCTGGGAGAAGGAGGAGGGCTTGATGGGGTGGAATTCTCTTCTGGCCTTTATATTTGTCTTTAGCAGTTTTGTGGCCCCAGTGCGTCACACCAGCACTCAAAACCTTCCTTCTTCATCCCTCACTTGATCGTCTTCATTATTTCTGCCCCCTATCCCCACCCCAGACCAATGAACCTTTGGGCTAAGTACCGTCAGAAGGAATCAGTTCAATTGACTCGCTCGTTTGTTTTTTTTTTTAATCCTTCACAAATGAAATAAAAGATTAATTAACTAGCGAGATGAGGGCACGCGAGGTGGGTATCAAGGAGCGAGGCCTTTGACTTCTGTGGCCAGAAACATTTGCTGCTTCAGAGAATAACATGTTCAGGAGCCCAGGTACCAGAACCCACCCACCCACCCACTCTACCTCAAAGGCCCAAACAAGAGGACTCAGGGCAGGTTCAAGGCCTCCTGAGTTTGGGGCCCCATGGTTTTGAAGTAACTCTATGTGACCCTGTGACCGCATCTCAGGCCTTCCTTCCTTCTCTCCACAGAGCCAGCTATCCCAGGCGCTGAACGGATTGTCAGACAGGGCCAAAGAAGCCAAGGAGTTCCTGGTGCAACTCCGCACCATGGTGCAACAGATCCAGGTACCGAGTGGGGGTTACGGGGCTGAAGAGTGGGATCTGCCGGGTGCGGCGGAAGGGAGGAGGTGCAGCGCGGGCTGATAGCAACCAAAGTGGGTTGAGACCCTCTGACTTGATGTGTTCCAAGGAAACCTCTCTTTCTTTCTGCCCTCTCTCCTCCACACAGGCAGACACACAGAGGCCACCCTCACAGGTGCGCCTTCTTGAGGCATCAGCTCTTTTGTCCACAAGCCAGGATTGTCTGTCTCAGGCATTTCCTGCCTTCCACTCTGTTGCCTTGAGTCCGCTACCATGTTGCGTGTAGACAGAGGCCTATTTTCTTACGAACCCCATTATTCCTGAGTTCCTAAAATCCTACAGAAGCCAAGGCCCATTTTACTTAACATTAACTAGTCGGTTCCCGTCTTCTTCCTTCTCTCTCCCTCCTTTCTCCCTCTCTCTTCTTTTCTTTCTCCCTGCTCTATCTTAATGTTTCTTTTGTCCCAGACACTTGTACATTTTCTAGCCTCTGTCCCCTGGCGACTACAGGTTCAGATTGCCTTATCAGGACATGGTGACCAGCAGGTCAGCCAGCACTTGAGAATGCAAATGTTTTTTACGTTTTTCACTAGAGCCGAAAGGGAGAAACCATAGAACATATGAGATGCCAAATTAATGACCTTCTGCACGGTTTATCATTCTTACGTGTTTCGAGGTTTGCCTCCCGGAAATAACCTTTACTCCGCCCTGGCTACTGAGTGACTCTTTAACCCGTGTCAGAGCAGAAATGGATTCTTCATGTAAGCCAGCTCTCAAAGCACCACACACTGGTTCCGTTGATTTTTTTTTTTTTTTTTGGTATGCGAGCCAGTGTTAAAACTGTCGGTTCCCTAGCAGTTTTGTACACTTCCTTCTGTTTTCCAAAGCGGCAGTGTTTATCAATCAGCCCTTTCTTTGCCGACGCTGGCACAAATGGTGCAGCCCCAGGCTTGCCCCCGCCTTGCCTTTCTGTCAGAGCAGAGTGTTCTTTCCGTAAGAAAACAGCAGAGTCTTCAAGGGAAGGCTCCCTCCCACCCCACCCCCACCGTCACTCTACACAGGGTGCAGCAAGTCCTTAAATGAGTCTTCAAGGACTTTCTCTGAGAATTCAAAGACCATTGCCAGCAGAGCATCCATAGGAACTGCTGCTCCATCTAATGTGGCCTCAGACAAAGACCGTCTTTGAAGGAAGTTGTTGAATTAAGTATCAGAGGCCTTTAATATATGCCCATACTTCAGAATTGCTAATTGAAAGAACTACATGGTTAAAGTCAAGGGGGAAAAAGTTATAGCCAGCTTCAACTTGAATACCACGGGCCCACACTTCCTTATTTTCTATGTAGCTCCCTGTCCTCAGCAAGCTACTGTGTCCTGTCTGAGTTTGGAACAAGAAAATGCTGTTACCAATATGAATTGTCCTCCGCTGTTGCCTTTCTTCATGCAGGGACGACTTTCTTCATGCCCGTTGTCATTAGACCTTATGCTGCCATTGATGACAACACTGGATCACTGTTTAATGAGGGGGACCTTTGTCATCCCCTCTTCTTTAGTAACCCTTTCTCTCCTGCCCTGACTCTACCCTCTTCCTCCGAGAAACCACTCTCCAGCCTGCAGAGCTGAGCACATGTACCCATCAAAGGACTGTGTGCCACCCTACAGCCAATGCTTCGTTGTACTTACTATAATTCAAGCTGGAGAGATGATTTCTTTTTATAAGGATGAAAGTAATAAATACCTACCCCTCTCCACGCAAACTTAAAGCAAAACACACACACTACAGAATAGTTTACCAGTACTTTGGAAATACTCAGTGTGCTCTATGGACAGAGTTCCTTCCCATCTCTTCAGTAGAAAGGACTGAAGTGCTCTGGTTTCTATGACTACCCAAGCTCCCCAGACATGTGCTTGAGAATGGTGCTTTCTTGTTCAGGAAAACAGTGTGGAGTTTGAGGCCTGCCTGGTGGCCCAGTGCGACGCTCTCATTGATGCCCTAAACCGAAGGAAGGCTCAGCTGTTGGCCCGGGTCAACAAGGAGCATGAACACAAGCTGAAGGTGAGTGGCACCTTGGAACAGTGGGGAGCAACAGTCCAACCTCCCAGGGCAAGGGTGGGCAGTCACGGGAGGACGCCATGCCTCACCTGTGTGGTCTGGCCAGACAGGAGCAGGCATGACCCTTCAGCATCCATTCATTCTTCCTAATTCTTAACTAAAATTCGCTGGGTTACTTCTCTGGGCCAGAAACTGCTCTGGGCATGGAAATAACAAAATAAATAAAAATCTCTGCATTCATTCTACTCTCCTAGAAGGGGAGAATGCTAAGCAGGGCATCCAAGGAAAATACATCATGGGCTAGTCCTTCTAAAGGCAGAAGAGGAGATAGTGAATCGTAGGAACAGGATTGAAAGCTTAGATAAGACTGGCCACACATAGGCAAAAATGTGTTCTTGAGTAGGTAAACAGAATATATAATTTATAAAATAAAGTTTGTTTACAAACTTTTCAATATAGACTTTGCCACTACATGATAAAATCAATGCATTATGAGCCTGGGGTCCCATTGGCTGCTCTGATCTTAGTGACGTGTGATAACCTGCCTGTCATCTATTGGCAACAAGATGGGGAGTGGGAGCAGAAGGAAGTCTAGTGGTGAGCAGTCAGATGAGGACCACAACATGACCAACACACCTCCGGCCTGGTGATGAGGGGAGCGTGTCTAGTGACAGCCTGGGGTTAAAGTAGAAGAAGCAGGCTCCAATCAAGGCTGTCTGTTAGGGTTGGTGTCAGGAGAAACATGGGCCACTTTAGGGGACCTAGTGGTAGGCCAATGGCCCAGTGACAAATATCACCCCCTAGGTCAGCTACCTAACCAGACCTTTAAGAGAAATTGCATTTGTAAAATCAGATTCCAGAAAGTGAGCCACGGAAGTTTCAGCAGTGAAGAAGCAATGAACACAGTATCAAGACCCCCAACCGTAGCCTGCTTCTCCAAGGCCCCTCCCCCTCTGCCATCTGCAGCTCCTCAAAGTGCATTCAGAGATCCATAGATGCTGCTTCCCTAGCCAAAGTCAGCAGCAGTGTGGTGGGAATGAGAACCTTTCTCCCCTGCCTTCTGACTTGGATCGTCACTCAGGGGACACTGGAGAGAATCCTGGGGCAAGCAGCAGGCTGTGCTGTAACAAGGTCCATCCAAACAGGAAGGGCTCATGAGTGTCTGACCAGTTTATGCTTGCCGATGACATACTCTTGCAGATAGGGAAAGAGAGTCGCAGATCTTGAAATCAGCGTACAAAACCCAGGTTCAGGATGGGGGAAGGGGGGAGCCCCCAGAGTGCTGGCGTTAAAGAGCCTGTGGGTTTGGGTAGCAAACCAAGTCTGGCAATCTCGATGCTCATTTGAGAGCAGCCATACACACCCCTGATGGTCGGTCGAGTGAGATGCCTCCCCATGTTCATCTCAGGATGGCCTTGAGCTCCTAAGGGATGCCAGAGAAAACCCCTTCCACAAAGAACCTTCCAACAGACGCTGAAGGGAACAAGGCTTGGTTTGCCCAGGATGCACCCTCTGTGGCCCGTGCATGGCAGTCTAGATGTCCTAGATGACGGAGAACCCCCTGCATGCCCCTCTCCAGGTCAGCGCCTGTGTGCTGAGCTGAGCATTGTCTACTCTTCCGGTATCTAGTTATGAGCCCACGAATTCCTTAAAGGGACCCGGAGCTGTGACTCACGGCAGCGTGTGTACCAACTCCTTAAATGTGAGAGGAACCTGAGGGAGTCATAGACACGCTGTACTTTCTCCCAACTGTTCTGCAAGTGTCATTGTGTGAGCATCTGTCTCACAGGCTCACCTAACAGTTGGAAAATGGCTTGACTTGATCAACATTTCTCTCAGAGTCAGGTTAGAGCTGAATGATTTTTTTTTTTAAAGAATCACTTTTATCTGAAGTAAAAATCTCAGCCTGCTGTGGAATATGATTCTGCAACTACCCCCACAGCAACATAGATGAGCATCCTTGGTGAGCAGACCCTGCCTTTGATCCTAGCAATAATGAAAGTCTGGAGAAACATTCTTCATAGTGACAGTATAGAAGCTATATGATAGGGATCGCCTCGGTAATTTCCACAGCAGCTCTATGAGGTCACTATCACTGCCATTCATACTCGAGAAAGGAAGGAATGATAACAACATGAAATTAAGAACTGGCCCCAAGAAGCCAAGGAACCGCAGAGCCCAGAATCTAAACAAACGTTCCCCAATGCTCCTGGTAGAGCTCCATCCAGAGACCAGGCATTTCTCTTCAGCCAGTCAGTTGCTAATGTGTGTCTGTGAGGGTTAGATTGCTGAACAGGAGTACACAGGAGGGAGAGGCATGGCGGTGACTCAGGATGAGCCTTGACCTTATGGATGCAGTGAGCGTTACTCATGGAAGACCCCAGCACAAGTAGACAGTGCTGTGGGAGAATGCTCATGTGTACTATAAAGATTTGTCACTCGTATTAGTTTAATAAAATGCTAATCGACCAGTAGCCAGGCAGGAAGTATAGGCTGGGCGACCAGACTAAGAGAACTCTGGAGAGAGGAAAGGCAGAGACATAGTCATCATCCAGAGGCAGAGGAAGCAAGATGAGAATGCCTTCCTGGGAAAAGGAAGCCACATGGCTAAACATAGATAAGAATTACAAGTTAATTTAAGTTGTTAGAGATAGTTAGTAATAAGCCTGAACAATAGGCCAAGCAGTTTATAATTAATGTAAGCCTCTGTGTTTATTTGGTTCTGAATGGCTGTGGGACTGAGTAGGAAAGAAACTTCCATCAACAGAACAGCAGGCTTCTGGGCAAGAACTGATCAGTACCATAGTCATTGTAAGGACAGACCACCGACAACTCTAACAGTCACAGAGCACCTTGTGGGAGAGCTGGCATCATAGCTGCCTACTCTGTAGGAGGTGTGTGTTAGTGATCACTGCATTCCTGCCTGTTGGAGGAAAGTTGCCAGGGAAAGATGATGGTGATCTTGCCAGTCCTCAAGACTAACGGAGAATTTCTGTTGCCATCCCCCGCTCTGATATCACTAAATGACTGTCACTGTAGCCTTCCTATAGAATGCAGAAATCTACTTTCATAGCAATCCTCAGAATATCCTGTGCATTGTTGGAGATTGCATGTGTGTGTGTTATTGAGGACTGAATTTAAGCCCTCGTACACTAAGCAAACACTCTACCACTGATCTATACTGCCCACACTCCCCCTTTTTAAAATTTTGGGATAGAGTTTTGTTGAATTGCCTGGGCTGGCTTTGAACACACTTGGAGTAAGCGGGCTTTGAACCTGTGACCCTTCTGCCTCAGCTTGTAGAACAGCTGTTGTAGGAGGTTCTTCTGTCTATGTGTTGCTTTTATTGGTTAATAAAGGAACTGCCTTGGCCTGTTGATAGGGCAGAGCTTAGGTAGGCAGGGAAGACAGAACTGAATGCTGGGAGGAAGAAGGATGGAGTCAGAGAGCGAGACACCATGGAGCCGCCAGAGTCAGACGTGCTGGAACTGTAGCTGGTAAGCCATGACCTCATGGTGATGCACAGATTAATAGAAATGGGTTAAATTAAGATGTAAAAATTAGTCAATAATAAGTTAGAGCTAATGGACCAAGCAGTGATTTAATTAATACAGTTTCTGTGTGATTATTTCAGTTCTGGGCGGCTGGGATGAACAAGTGGCCTTCCTGTTACTATAGCTGTGTTCATAGCCTGTATCTCTAGACATTGCTTCAAAATGCCATCCAACCCACATAGAGATGAGTAGACTAAAGCCATGGCTGCCTTTGGAGTATGAGCTGGACAGCTGAGTTGCCCTGCTGAGAACCAGGGCAAGTGGTTCAGTACCTTGCTGTAAAAGTTCCACTTTTCCTCAATGGAGTCTCTTTTTATCAAACACCACAAACACTGGCACCACAGCAGCAAGCACAGTGAGTGCTGTGCGATGCTGTGTAGTCACTGCAGAGGTGACAATAGCCACGCTGTGTGGGAGAAACAGAGGCCAGCAACCTCTACGGAAGAGGGAATCAAGGATTGGGACGGTGTCATTGATCCACGTCACGTGGGCAAATAGCAGAGGACATCGCAGGCCCCCATGCCCCTTACCTGGTGCCATCTCTGCAGGATAGGATGAGAATATCACTCATGGCCTGTGCAGTGAGTTGATGCTCAGGTTATGTAGATGCCCAGGCATGGTGTCTACCACATCTCGGGGCCTCCATGCCCTCCTGCTGCCTGCTGTCCTCATCTTCCCCATGACAGGGCTTGCCAAGGAGGGCTGTGCTGCAGGCCACACAGATGCCACGGGGCTACTGGGCAGAGAACACCGATGCCCTCATTTCACCCTGCTCAGACTTTGGAGGACGATAAAAAGGGACAGGTGGCCGATTGTTGCCCTCGGCGACAAAGCTGTTCTGTCTGCTGTCTCTACAATTCATCTCTGTCATTTTCAGCCAATTGTATTTGTTGCCACTTCTAAAGACAGCCACCAGTGCCACTGCTGCCATAGCTACTGACACCAGCCTCCGCAGCTCTTCTTTTGTCCTTGCCTGTTCCCTTTCTTGTTGTTTTTGTCGACGCTGAGACTGGTGAGGAAAGACTGGCCATGCAAGGACAACCTCACCGAGCACAGCACTTCCATCTTTGTTGTTTGTGTTGGAGTAATCTCATGTTCATCCATATCCAAGGGCTTCTCTTGGCTGACAAAGAAGTGATGTGTGTGTGTGTGTGTGCACATGTGTGTGTGCATGCGTGCGTGCATGAATGCCTACATGTGTGTGCACATGCATGTACATGTATGCGTACGCATGCATGCACATGCGTCTGTGTACATGCATGAATGCAAACGTGCATGTGTGCATTCTGTGTGTGTATGGTGTGAGTGTGCACATGCACGTGCGTGTGCAATTCAAAAAAATCATAGGATGCTGGGAAGCCAGTGTGTATTTCCGGGTCTTAGTACTCTGCTCATGCCCTTCTCTGAGAGCACTGCTGACCTGAAGAGATGAAAGAGTTCTTGTGAGAC